GCATCCAGACACACGGCAACCCAGGCTTCCCCGTATGGAGGGAGCCGGTGGAGACACCTGCCGCGCCTGATCAGGGTGATCCAGGCGCAGAGCAGGATATCCCCAGGGATCCAGGCAGTGTTGCTTCCGCAGTTCCTGACGAAGAGACCATGGTACAGATCATAGCCGATAACAAGAAGATCGACCGCAAGGTGGGCGACAATGAGGCCATCTTGCAGGCAGAGGCTCCCCGCATCCGTACGGACAACATACACCATGGTGCTACTGATACTGCGGACACCGACACCTCCGGGTACGCAGGACTACCGGGGGAAAGACTGTCTAGGATCGAGATCGAGGGGATCGGCCGATCGATCGCCTCCCGTCCGACCGCTGAGATCAATCGTGATGCCATGGATCAGATCGGCCGTGTTCTCGCCAGCGGCCTTGACACCCGCTGGGGATCTCGTGAGCACCTTGCGATGTCCCGGGCCCCAGAGGATATCCAGCATGATATTGTGCGATGTCGGAATTGCGATCGTTTCTTATCTCTCGGAATCGTCACAGGTGACGGTACAATTTGTGACATCTGCTGGCAGTACACTGTCGCTGTAGGTGCTACCGGCAACGGTGGTGCCGCGGAGAGCGACCTAGCATACCTCCAGAAGTTGACCCACTGGATCAAGACGACCCTCTCCCAGGACGACATCACAAGGTATATGACAGATGGAGCGCATGTCCAGATGATGGGCAAGCGCTCCGTACCTGGTTAGGAAAAGGATACCTTGAGGAGATTGGCGAAGAAAGCTGCGGAGAGGTATCAGATGTGGGTCGACGCAGGCTCCCCTCCTGCACACATGTGCAGGCTGATGGGCGAGACTGAGGACGACAGACCTCTATGCCACCCTTTCGCCAATCTCGTTCAGCGTTTCCTGAGCGATGTGCGGTTCCACCACCATGTGACTGCCGCTCGCGCCGATAAAGGCCAAAAGGCTTTCACCGTCGAGGACATGCGTGATGCTTGTGATATTTACGATCGCAGCGTCAGGCAGGGCTTCGCTGGTCGGAAGAAATGGTGGTTGTACACAGGTAGACTCGATAGAGGCACTAGGCAAGAGCGTGGACTTATCACAAGAGCCCTTCCCCGCGGGGATGGCACTTGCGAGAAAGTCACGCAGCGGAAGCTTGCCGTGCTTGCTTCCATCGATCCTGCCACGGCAGCCGCGGCGCCCGCAGCCGCCGCGCCCTGCTCCTGGCGACGCTGCTGGATCCAGCGCTTCTGGCGCGCAGGATGACACGCCCGCTGGGCCGCGCAGTGACGCCGCGCAGCGGCGGAGCAGCGATGCCAGCCGCAGACCAACGACGCCTCCCCGCGCCAAGAGGGCGCGCAGGACGGAGGACTACGCGACGTGGTGGCGCAAGAACCTAGAGGAGAGCCAGTGGGGCTCCAGATACTGGGGCTACTATGCCAAATTCTGGATATACATCGCGGACAACAACGATGAGTTCGTGTACGTCCGCGACTTGCTGCACAACGATAGGTTTCGCCACTGGGCCCCCAGGGCGCCCTGGGAGACCTTCGCGACGAGCTACATCGCGGAGGATGGCCACAGGGTGTGGGGCCAGAGGTTCTACGCGAGAGGCAGCGCGTAGTGTAGTCGGCCGCAAGGCCCACCGCTCGATTGGCTCGAACTTCATCTTTATATAAGTTCGCCTCGAACGGTGAAAAAAAACAACAATATAATCTTAGGCCACTTCACTATTCAAGAAAGTGGCCATACTTGCACTTGTGAAACCCAAGGCAGCCCCCCAAGGAACAACGCCGAGGGGAATAACCCAATGCAGAATTTATTTGTGCAGCCTATCGTGTTTATCAACACGACTTTGCGTCTGGCCAGACATGTGCTTTTTATATTTAGACATGTTCTTTAACACGATCGTTTTCATCAACGCGACTTCATAATGCACATTGTTTGTTTATTTATTCTTTGGAATATAATTACATTGCGTTGAGAATGATCTGATGCCCAGCTCTCGCTTGATAGCTGGTGGCAACACCTGCCGCGCTCGGGCGCGGCAGCTTTTGATGTTGCTTTAATTTGATCAGATCCTCTTGCTCCGCCCACCCGTGTCTCATTCTTCTCCGCCCTCGAGTGCCGAAGCGTTTTTTGGGGGCGCACCGAGGGGGCACCAAAGTGTGCTTGGCGAAGAAACAGGGACTCTGGGTGATCCTTCTTGCCTTCTCTTGCCTAATCGTGACCGCTGTCGCGATTGGGACGCAGCTGATGCGATGCAGATTTCACGCTCAGCTGCCTTGCAGACTTGAGGATTTGAGGAGTAGAAGGGTGACGGGTTCTTTTCTCCTGTTCCCGAGTCCTGCCCTCACGGGCGGGATTCGGGACGGGGTGTGTGAATAGAACCCGTATGATACCCTCATATATACTCCTTATCCTCACCTCTCCTGCGCCTGGCCGTTTGGGCTCAGGTATTGGAAAAGATCGATCAGACCTTTGATCGTGCAGGAGGGAAAGATATCCATCTTCCCCTCCTTTCCTCCCAACCAACGGATCAGGGGTTCTGTACCTTTGCACTCTAACCCCATACACATTGTCGGCCCTATGTTCAACAGCTCAGTCGGCAAGAACACGCACTGAACAGGGCCACCAACAGGTAGGAAAACATTTCAGAACAATACAGAGACTACATAAAATAATATATTTTTCTGGAAGAGCAGGCCAGCCTTGCCAACGAGCAGGTGGAACGTTATCATGTAGCACTCGACGAGATTCGTTCCACGGCACCACCAGAGGTTCTGCACGCAGACGACGACGAGGAGGTTCCGGAGTCCGATGCCGCACCGGTGAAGCCTCGCTTTGTGGGTTTGGTCAAGAATGCAAGCATTTAATCTCAGCCGCCGTCGCAGCACCTCTGCAGCATCAAGTGCAGCAGCAGACATGGCCGCCATGCAGGGACAGCTGGCCATGTTGACAAACGCATTGCAGTCTTATCCGCAGCAAGTCGCTACATTGCAAGAGAGGTACGATGCAGTTGTGACGGCGCTCGCAGCTGGCCCAGGTAAAGTATTGGAACCACCGGATCCGACGGGTCTTGCAGAAGCGCAGGCTGTTGCTGCTGCAGCTGTTCTTGTTCGAGCTCCACAGCAGCAGTTTGGTCGGGCACAGCAGTCACCTCAGGGGGAGCCTCACATCCAACCCCAGCGTGCTGCCCACAGGGTGCAACCAGCCCAGAGGCCCGCGGCGAACCAGGATCGCTCTTCCAGCAGTCGAGATCGCGAGCGCAGTCGAGACGACCGCGGGAGGACGGAGGCAGCCGACCCTGCGATCGAGTCGCGCGCTGTGTCCGAGTCCGACCACGGTCTCGACGAGGAAAGGCGTCGGGACCAGAGGAATCGGGCGGGGTAGCCAGCACCTCCATTCTGGTCGGCCAGCCTGACGATCGTAGTCGTTCTTTTTTCCAGGCGGTGTCGGGGCCGACTTCGTGCTAGCGCCGCACGCTACCGACAGTTGCATCTCGACTGGGCATCGTACCAGTAACACTGGTTTCCTTGCAGTCTTTCCTTAAGACATCAACTCCAGCAAGGGAGCCTGTTCTGGGGAAACCTATCGATAGCCCCAAACAAGTTTCAAAAACACTACCTGAGCCCTTTTTACATAGCCCATGCAAAAATATAAGTGCAGAGTGGTCAGGGGGTGCGAACATGTCTCGTCATCCCATTTTTGTTTCACCATACCTCACCATCGTAGTTCTTCGCAATATTTCGTTATATCTCTCTTGCCTTAACGTTATAGTGCCTCCTTCGCTTCGTACTTCCCCTCGTAATATATTACAATTCCCCTCGTCGTTCTTCCTTGGCCCCCTAATGCCCTGTTCCCCCGTCCCCATGCGGCCTCTCGCCCATTATGCCCCATCGCTCATTATGCCCTATCGCCCATTACGCCCTATCGCCGTTTTGGCTCAAACTCTCCTGCTATGCCCTATCGTCCTTGTTCAGACTCAGCAATGTAGATTCTGGCGACGGCCATGGAGGCCGACGCGGTAGACGACGCATGGGACGTCGCTGCGCGAGAGGCAGAAGGCAATATTATAGAGGTGGGCCCAGAACCAGACACGGGCCCAAACCAGATCAGCGAGGTTGACATTTTCGACGCCCCTGCCAGTGCAGCCGCACATGATTCAGGGCGCCCGCGGAAGTTTCGGAGAAGTGATGTATGGAGGGAGGCATTGGCTGAGCTTGGTGTTGAGGCTGCGGCGGCCGACATACCATCTAGAGCTGAAATATGTGAGCGGGCACGACAAGCAAAAGCTCGGAAAAGACAAGCAGCAGCAGTTGCTGCAGACGCTGAAGGCGGCGTTCAGCAGAGCATTGTCGCCGTCCCTGCGGCGCCTGTGGGATTCCCAACGGTGCCTATCGAGATTGTGAGCGGTCTTGGAAATTTACGATTCGAGCACGGAGCCATATGGCCCCTGCAGACGTGCGTGCGCAGCATCATGAGCATCGCGGGGGCGCAGGCCACCAACGTAGACAAGGACGACACAATGAAGGTTGCAAAACTATACATGGCAAGTGGCGCTGGAGCCACGAGTTTCCGCGCATCGACGGCTGCATCTGTTGCCGCGTCTTTGGGCATGGATTATCGAGAAGTTCGGCCTTCGTTGTATAGGCTTGCTTGCGTTGCTCTTCATGCTGGCCGTGATGCTCGGTGTAGATTGGAGGCAATAGTTGGATCATCTCTCGATCAGTCTAGTTTGATTCTGTACGTAGATGCCAGCATGAATGACGAAACACCGTTGAAGATCGGAGTCTTCGATCGAAAGCAGAAGCGCCCACAGCGACAACAGCAACACGCAGGTGCTGCCGCTCACCAGCAAGCGCTTGCAGCTACAATGCCGACGATGCAGGCAGCTTCGAAGATGGAGAAGACTACGAGTAAAGTGTTGCAAAGCAGGACAGCTTCGGAATGCTCTTTCGTACGCCCGACGGGCGCCCGGTCAGCATCAAGGGCAGGGCGATGACGTGGCTCCAGCACTTGGACAGGACAACGGGCGAGTGCTTGCTGGCCGCGGCGAAGCAGAGGTCAGCCATTACAGATTGGCATCGGAAGTTTGCGAACAAGCTTCGGGTCAGCTGCTTGGGCGGCGCTGGAGCGCACGATCGATATGAACGTGAGTACTTGAGAGAATTGAGGTCCCAGGCTGATGGATGGCATCGCCTCCCCGTCGGCTGCGAGATCCACCTGGTGGCAGGTTGCCATGGGAAGACGTTTGCCCCCGTGAACCCAATGATAATGGGCCAGATCCACTGGGCGTTGGCGATCAACGAGGGCACCTCGTTCAATCGGTTCCAGAGGATTGCGAAGAACATCGTGAAGGAGAGGATTGTGTTCAGGCAGGGTTGGGGCCCACTAAACCTCAAGGTCGAAATCGCTTCCCCCGACCCTTCCGCCTTGTCGTCCTTGTCATCCTCCATTCCTCCCTCCTTCGCTCTCTCTCCAGCCTCCTCCCTCAGAGTTTCCTCCCCCCTCGATCCCCCTTTTCCAATCCCTTACTCACCTTCATCTTCCCCCCTCGAATGGGGGGGGATGGAGGAGGAGAAGTAGGAGTCAGTAGGAGAAGTAGGAGGATAAGTGGATGGGGGGGGAGGAGAAGTGGGAAGGATGAGATTTGCCGATCCTTCCGAGGCGCGGTCGCGCCCCAGAAGCCGCTGAGAGACATCGTCGCCATCTACTTTGGCTGGCTCTGCGCGGCGCGCGGGAGTCGGCTATTGGCGAAGCGCCTCGCCCTCAGCTTCTTGCCGAACGGCGATTGGCGCAAGACGGATTGCGTGGAGGTGTGCATCCCTGTGGGCGCCGCGTATGATGACGCGGAGATTCGTGAGACAGTTTCGGAGTCTGTGGTAAAGTGTTCGGTTGGGTCCAAGTTCACTGTTTATGATAAGTCAAAATGGACTCGGTGAGATCAAGCGTGGGACGAGTTCTGCTTGCTGGAAGGCGTCCACGGTCTCATCGGCGCCGCGTGGCCTGTATGGTGTGCAGAAGAACGTGCGAGCGGGCTTGATGATGCGGCCCCTGGTCACCTCCCTGCCCCTGCCGACCTGCCCGCGTCGGTCTCCCACGTGAAGGAGATCCTGGACTACCAGGGCAGCGGCAACAATGACGACAAGGCCGATGGCGCTGGGGTGGGCGCCGCCGACTCCAGGCAGACAAAAGAGGATAACGAGAAGAGGGGGAGGACCAGGCATCGTAGGATTGCTGGGGCTTTCCTGAGGTGGCCACTGGGGGGCCGAATGTGCCCGCCAGACAGCAGACCCCGCCGGCGTGTCTTTTTTTGTTTCGGGACGGTGGTTGAGAAAATAACATGCGCAGTGGGGGCTGCTGGGTCCGATGGTGCGTTCGGTCTCTCATGCGAAGGTGTTGCCCGCTGGCGTGCTCGCTGGTGGTTCGCCAGACCATGGAGCCACTGCGGGAGTTGCTGAAGGCGCACTTGGAACACGTTGGCGCGGAGCACGCCGCGCGTCAAGAGGCAGAGGCACACCGGGGCGTTTTCGAGGATTGTTCCGAGGGGGAAGGCCAGGCGCACCCGATCGTGGAGAGTGCGTCGGGTGCATTTGAGGCCACATTCCATAGTGAGACCCAGCTGTTGCTGCGTCGCAAGGAGTTCTGGGTGGACCTTATCCCGCCAGATCACCAGACCTTGAGCATGAGAGCGCTTGCGTGTCGGATGATATGGTCATGCGATTGCTTAGTCAGCGAGGGCCTGGACGTCCAGCACAACACGTTCCCCATGAAGTTGTTTCGGTTGCTCGGGCCGAGGGGCGCCGACGTCGACTTGCACATCCCGCCGTGCTTGTTCGACGAGTGGTCGCTCGATTTCGTGACGAGGTATCGGGATCGCCCTGGAGGATTGGAAAACGAGGAAGCCAGAGCAGAGCTTCGCCTTGTGGCAATGCTTGCTGGAGTTAATATTGCCCCCGTCGAGGCCACTCATTCGGCCGTGCGGCGGAGGCTGTTCACGAAGCGCATTCAGACCTGGGCCCAAGCCTTCGAGGAGCTCTCGGCGGAGTTCCTGCTCGAGCGCATCCGCCGCTTCGGGAAGGCGTGGGAGGTCGTCGCCAACAGCGATGGCCCTGGCGCCGAGGGCGCCGTCGAACCTGCAGACCAGGAGGGAGAGGTGGAACAATCTGGGCGGGGGGGGCGGTGGCGGACCGTGGAGGGCATGCGTGCGGCAGGAGACAGCGAATTGTGGCGAGCAGAGGCCGACCATGAGGGAGGTCGCCATCCTTTACCGCAACCTGAGCGAGCATGAGATGTCGGAGCTCAAGAGGTTGGGCAAAGTTGCGACTCGACTCTGGAGGGGGGGGCCGACATGAGCTGCGCTTTCGGCGACACCTCGAGGCAGCTGAGGGCGAAAGTGCAGGAGTGCCAACTTGTAGCAGCTCGGTCTGGGGTCGTTGTCGCCCCGTCGTCGGCGCCTGCACCGAGCTTGGCTGTGCTGTGCGATCGCGCGGTTCAGACTGCGATGCAGTGTGCGCCAGCTGACAGGCAGCTCGACCTGGGCGCTATCCAGAAGATGGCGCGGGCGGCTTTGCAAGCCGAGCAGCTCGCCCTCAGGGCCGACGATGCGAGGGCCACTGAGTGCCTGGTGATGTGGCGCGAGGCCGTCAAGGGCAAGGCCGAGGAGTTGTTGGTTTCCGAGATGGCGAATTTTGCAGAGTGCATGGCGACGCTCAGCGCAGCGCCGCACCGATGCCAGGACCTGTTTGACTTTCGGCACCCCGCTGAGCTCTCAGCGCACGGCGCCGCCTTGGCCAAGGACCAGTCGCTGAAGTCCAACGCGGTGAAGTCGCTGGAGAGCTACTGGGTGGCCTTGCACGCCCCCCATCATGCGCGTCGACTGCAAGCCGATCGCCCCCGAGCCCAATAAGAAAAAGTTGGAGAGGCCGCCATGCCGCACAATCGGCATGTGCCTCTGCGGATCTACGGGCGCGCGACTCGCGAGGCTCCGAGAGGGCTTCCACAGCGCCCTCAGGCAGCTGACGAAAAAGGGGGGCATGGGTCGCCAGCGCCTTATCGATCGTAAGGTGGTCGTTCATCTTGTGGGAACGCTCCCCGAGAGGGATGCTGCTGAGTCCGCCTGGGACGAGGCGGAGCAAGAGAAGGGCTGCGCCCTAGACATCTGGTGGCACGTCGGCGCCACTTCGCTCAGCCCGTACAAGTGCACGTACCGAGTGTTGGACTTCGTGGAGAGGCAGTTGCGGGACGGTTCCGTGGAGATGCTCTTGAAGGCACCGTGGTAGTGGGAAGGCAACCTGTCCGCTTGCTGGGCCCCGTCGTAGTGCAGTGGTTGTGTTGTTATTCTTGTGTGTTCTGGCATTCTGTCGCCACGTCGCCACGGCTGGATCCGCCGCGATATTCTGTGGCACGTCGCTGGGGAGGGACGGAGTTTTGTGGGGGCCCAGTGGGATGTCGAAGATCCGATCTGGGCTGGGTGCCTTCGCATTCCTTCCTAAGGCCACCCGTGCGACTTTGGTGGACTGGCATGGTTCTACAACGCTGGACAGGAGGGCGACGTGGCCCCGTGAAATTTACGTGTTGTGCGAGGGCAGCCGTCTCGTGGAGTTTCGGCCTGACCAGGTGCTGGTCAAGAAGATGCACCCTGAGGCGGTCGAGTTCTGGGCCCGAAGCGCCGCGGGCGCCTGCCTGGTGCGGGGCATGACGGCGCCGAGCCCGACGGTGGTTCGGATGACGAACCCGAGGGCGACCCAGACGACGACGAGGACGAGAGCGACAAGGGCGAGGGCGGTGACTCCGACGCTGGAGACGAGCGCTTCGAGGTCGAGGGCATCGAGGGGCACGGGGATCCTGGCTTGGGCGAGTCCGAGGTCAGACGAGGGCCGAAAGCCGGGCCCCAAGCGCTGTCGGTTCGGCTCTCAGCGCGGAGGTCGAGATGGGGGCCCGCTCGCCCCCCCCCCCCCCATCTCGCCCTCTCTCGCGTGGAACATATGTCGGCGAGCGTGGTGCCTGGGCATTCGCCCTTCGACGTAAGGGCGAGGACGACTTCCTCGACGACGGGGTCGGCGAGGAGGAGTTCTGGCTGGAGCAGGTGGGGCTGGGTGGCAGCGACGTTCGGCCTGGTGGCGGTGGTGGAGATGGAGGCGATGGTGGAAATGGAGGCGGCGGTGGAGATGGAGGCGGCGGTGGACAAGAAGCTGGCGGTGGCGAACATGGAGTGGGTCATCCAGTAGGCGGGGGCGAGCATCCGCTGCCGCCGCCGCCTGGTCCTCCTCCCCCGCCCCTTGGCCCTCGCTTGCCGGCCGATCGTGTCTTCCACCGCCCGAGTGGGGTGATTCGCTATTGCGCGAACATCAATCGTTTCGAAGCCACGTGTAGCGTATGCCCTGCCAGCAGCGCGGGTTCCAGGTGCCGCGTGACCCGCGCTGCGGCGGCGCACGGGGGGGCAGGAAGATTAGCTTAGGGTCGCCCTTTCGGGTTTCTCTGTGCGTGGCTTGATTGTGCGAGTCATTGCCGCGCGAACGGCATTGATCGCCAAGATCGCATTGCCTGGATTGTGAATTTGGAGTTTCAGGTTCGGCGAGCGGCACGCCGACGGTACAGGGCTCAGCCAGGTGGAGCCGAGATGTGCGCTGCCGAGCGTCCCCCGCGTGGGGGTGAGGAGTCGGAGCCAGATGGCATGGCGTAGAGTCGAGTAAAGAGAGCGTAATTGCGTGATTGTTTGTTGCGCTGCGGAGGCATTTGTGAAGAGTCTGATAAGGATGATATGGCTTGTGGACGGGGGGTGGTGGGCGGGTGGGCGGAGGGTGGTGGCGGGTGGGTGAATGGGCGATGGATCAGATGGGGTATGTATGGGGTATCTCGGGAGCATCTCGGGTGCATTCGGGAAGCAGTTTTTACGCATCTTCGGTGCCTTGTTGCCTCTCTTTATTGGCATCCTGAGTGCCGTTTGGGGCTTCTCGGGGGCCTCTCTGGGCTCCATTATTTTCTTGGTGGCCTGCTGGCGGCCTCGAGGGTGGCCCTTGAGCGGAGGGCTCGGCCCGCGTGGTCAAAGTGGTCACGTTCTCCCTCTTGGGCCCCCCCTTCGGGTCACCACCAGCGGACTTTCTCGGGTTGTCTTGGGAAGGTCTCTGGTGCCGTTTTGGATCCCTGCTGAGGCCGTCTCTGGGCCCTCTTGGGGGCCAGTTGGGGCGATCTCGGGGGGCCTCTCTGGCCGCCATGGAGCGCTGGGGGCTCGAACAGCTGAGAGCGCGAAGCGGTTTCGAAACCGATGGTGGAGCCATGAGTGTTTATCGATTGCCATCTTGGAGTCCTCTTGGAGCCCTTAAGAATGTCTTGGGGGCCTCGGAGGCAATCTTGGGCGCCCTGTAGCGCTCGCGGGCTGAGGACGCCCCAACTTGTGCGTCGCCGAGGCGCGGTAGCTAATTCGCAGGAAGAGGGGGGGGGGGTCGAGGGGGAAGGAGATCGGAGAAGGATGGGGCGGGGCAGGGGGAGAGGGAGCAACAGCAAGACGCCTTATGAGGCCGTCCGCCGCCCGCCGCCCCGACGCCGAAATTCCGTGTGAGGGGTGCGCCGAAAAGGGCGGGGCTGTTTGGCCTCCCTCCCATGGTCCCGCTGGGACACAGGATGTCTGGGAATTCCCCGCGGCCCAGGGGTGCTCTGGGTGGGTTCTGCCTGCCCCTCGGGCTGACGGGGGGGTGGGGGGCCGTGAGGTCTCCGGGGGCTCTGAGATCTTAAGGGGCCTCCCAGGGCCCAGAGCATCTAGTGGACCCCAAGGGCCAAGGGCCTCTGAGGGTTCTTGAGGGATTCCAGTGGGCTCCGAGGGGCCTCGGGGCTTCTGGGCACCCCTGCCCCCCCCTCCTCGGGCACCGACGGGGGTCGCGGCGTGCGGGTGCACATATGGCGACCATGGGGGTCGTGGCATGGGCCCCTGGGCCCTTCTTCCCCCTCGCAAGGGATGGGAAGGGCCCTTGCATCGCTGCCTTCCGATTGGGGTGCAATGCCCCATGTCCTGTGACCAGCTGTGCGCCGCGGCCAGTAGGGCCAACCCCTCCCACTCCGCCCCCTATGTCCACCTTCGCTGGAATGAGGGTGGACAGAGGGGGAGGGGGAGGCGGGCCCCAGGAGAGCGGCCCCTCCCTGTACGGGCACTGCGCCTGAGGGGGCTGCGCGGTGGGTGTCCCTCGCCTCCCTTTATTTTGTTTGCCGCAAGCAAGCAATTTCGAAGGCGAGTCCAGCCGTGGCGAGGGCGAGGGTCCTGGAGGCCAAAAATCGCCCACGTCTTCTCCTTCATGCAATCCTCCTCGGCCCCAGCGCATGGTTCCCGCAGGGCTTCCTCCTGGCGGTGCCTTTGGGCCGCGGGCGTCTGGGCAGATCTTCGGATCCCCCTCAGAGCCCCCCGCAAGGTTTCTCGGGGCCCGTGGGCTCGGGGAGTTATGTCTCATCTCACGTGCTGATGGGGCCCATCGGTTCGCGGAAAATACTAGCCGACTGCCGCCGCCAGGCCAGCTTTATTCACATATGCCTCTCGGCAAGCCCCGCCCCCGCGAGAAAACATGTGACAGTTGCGCATTTGGCAGCAGCCCAGTTGCCCTTGGCTGACTGGTTTGCTGGTCGGTTGGCTGGGCGGGCTCTCGGGTTCCAGGGGGCGCGCAGGCGCGCTCGCACTTCTCATGTGCCGATTGGCTCGCCGCCGCGGTCGGCGCCCTTGTTGCTGCCGCCGCCGAGGAAGATATGCCGTTCGGCAATGACACACCTCCCGCCCCTCCCAGCGCGCGCAGCGTTTGGCTGGTGGGCTGGTTGGCTGGTCTTCAGCCGCGGTTAGCTGATTGGTTGCGTTGGTTGGTTGGTTGGCTGGTTTGCGCCGCAGGTAGGCTGGTTGTTTGGTTGGCCGATTGCTTCTGCTAGGGCTCATAAGCACAAGTGGCCGCGCGAGCAAACCATGTGTGCATATGCGCATGTACACGCACATACATATATCAAGACATTCGTGTATGTGTTGGTTGGTGCTATCTACTTTTCGGGGGGTCGTAGCACCTGTTGGGGATGCATTGTATACCTTTTGACTGGGTCCTATATACTTGTTGGGAGGGTTGCATATATTTGTTGTGGTGTATTATCTACTTGCTGGGAGGCTCCTGTTTACTTCTGATAGGATCCGATATGCGTGTTGGTAGGGTACCGTCTACTTGTTGGGAGGGCCCTATCTACTTGTTGGGATGGTCCAACCTGTTTGTTGGATGGGTCTTGTCTACTTCTTGGGAGGGTCCTGTCTACTTGTTGGGATGGTCTTATCTACCTGCCGGGAGGGTAATATCTACTTGTGGGAGGGTGTTATATACTTTTTGGAGGGTCCTATCTACTTGTCCGGAAGGTCTTGTATATTTGTTGGGAGGCTCTTATCCTTTTGTTTGAGGGTGCTATATACTTGTTGGGATGGTCATGTATACTTGTCTGCAAGGCCTTTTCTATTTGTCAAGGAAGCAAGTCTACTTTTGGGAGGGTCCTGTCTACTTGTTGGGGGGGGGGGGGGTCATTTCTATTCTCGGGACGGTCAGACTTACTTGTTGGGCGGGGCCTGTCTAGTTGTGTGCAGGATCATGTATGTTTGCTGGGAAGGTCCGTTGTACTGTTGGGAATATCTTATATGTTTGTTAGGGGTACCACCTATGTCTTTTGCCGAGGAGAGGGGATGGCGGGGAAGAGTATGATGAGGGAGCGATTGAGGATGACAAGCAAAAGCAAGAGTCCGCCGCCCGCCGCCCCGACGTCGACTATCCGCGCAAGGGGTGTGTCGAAAAGGGATGAATCCTATGTGCCCGTGATGGCACAAGTTGTCTGGTGGTTCCCCGCGGCCCCAACAGCACCTCTGCCTAAGTGCTTCCGAAGGGTTCAACCGGCCTCCTGGGGCTGGACTTCCGATGCCCTCTTAGTTGGGCGACGTGGTAAGATATTGTTAAATTGTTCATGAGTCATGGAGCGTGGCGCGCGACGGGTAGGCGCCTTGCAGCATCGATGCGCGTTGCTCGCTCGCTCGCTGGCCCCCCTCCTACTCCTATCTATTCCATAATCATCATCCGCCGAGCCTGCGCAGGCTCAAGGCTGGGAGATGCGCCGACCCAGGCGGCGAGGCCGCCGACGCCGACGCAGCAGACGTGACTGAACGCTCGGCGCGCGAGCCGCAATGTCGGATCGCTCGCCGAAGGATTGCCCAGAGTCGGCGCAGGTGGCCATAGGAGGTGGTAGAAAGGTGCGAATCGGATCTCCATGGTGC